TTTGAACTTAATATTAATTTCTATTTTTCTCATTTTCCTTTTTATTCTAAACTCATTTCAATTCAATTACATTGCCACGATAAATGCACTTAATCCTTTACTTAGCTAACGTCATAAATTAATTTATAAAATCGCAATTTTTTTTTCATTTTTCTTATTTTTTACCTTTTGTCTGTTCTCCTCAGCAATAGCTTGTTTCTTGGCAAGCATCTCGGCAGTAAGCACTGTAACATTTTCCAATTTCTAGACAAAAAAAATACAAAAAACTCAACGTCAATTAAACAACTTATTTGAATAATTATTGTGAATCATTTATCTTAATCTCTTGGATTCCACGTAATGCTTACTATTATTTGTTAATCCCTCTCGTTTATTCCTAGTTATTTATTATTTTTACCTGTAATTTAGGAACTCGTCTAATCTCTTTCCTTTTTGAATTTTCATCTAAATTGACTTCAAATGCAACTCCAGTCATTGGAACTAAACTTTCATTCCTTCCTTTGATATCTAAAAAACAAAAATTCAAAGTTTAGAATAACATTAACGTATGAATTTTTAATTTAAGTAATATAATTTTTGTACTTGAAAACATTTTATGTGCGACCTTTGGGTTAAGTTGAAGAAGCGAAATATTAAAAATAGAATCCAAAAGCTTATATCAAAAAATTCATCCAATTTGATGCCCTGCAGATGAAAGATATTCGAAAGATTGGAAATATAATCTTGGAATTTAAACCTTACACATTTGAGTAAACATTACTCGTCACACAATGGTAAACAAAGATTATTATATTAATTATTACAAACAAACATTGGAAAATAATTAAATATCAAACAGATTGATTTTTAGGAATTTTTAGAACGTTTGTTTAATTTGTAAAACTCTAAGAGACTATTAAATGTTGTGTTTAATAAAGGAAAGGCGCAGCCTTATTAAGGCAAACTATCCGGACTCCGGAACGATTTTCACTCCGATTTACTGAACTAATTTACAAATTTGTAGAATAAGATCAATGTTTAGATATGAATTAGGCGAAGCACGTACCCCGATGTTTTTATCAATTTATGTCTATCAAGCTCATACTTACCATTTAACTTAGACGAATTAAGTCTATTTTTCTCATTTTCTTGGTTTACGGTTGGTATAACGAGATCTTGATTGCTCTCTGGTTTGATGTTGGGTTTTTCATTGCTATTGTTATCGTATTTATCCTCCTTGGCATGGCTTGTCTGCTTGGATTCCTTAAGTTTGCGTTGGCTATCGGAATGATTCGTTGTAAGGACCCCGTTTTGGTTTTGTAGAGGTTTCTGTGGTGTGGGAGAAGCAGCTTTGGCGCTCGAAGATCCACAACCCATACCGTAGCAAAATAAAGTCCTCTTCCAAAATTTAGACCACTTAAGAAAGAAACCTTATTTAGAAGTCCAGAATCCTATAGTATTTGTCTGTAAATGATAATGTAAGCGATATTAAATATAGACTCTTGGATGAAGTCGTTGGTGAAGCGATGCAGTGTTCCGGCGTTGCTCAACGTAGATAGCTTCGTACTATAGAGGGACTTTGAATCGTAGTCCTTTAAAAACGGAATCTAAAGCCCTTGTCGTGTAGCACTCCTCCTTTGCAATCCAATGGTTAATAATAGTGGCCTCAAACTCCATGGAGAATTGTAAATAGCTAAACACATGACGCCAGTTTCTATGACAACGCCGGTCAAATTTATTAGCGCGAACAATCAACATCCAGTCAGTCATTGTATTGGGTGATGTTCTGGTTCTTTATTGTCGGTAATTGGCCGTTTTTTTCTAGTATTTTCCCGAAAACGTGTTTCCTGTTCTTTCTTCTAGTCTTCAAAAGTCTTAGAAAGTCTTTTTGCGCTTTCACAAGTGCTGGTCACGAAACCTCCTATCGTCAACACGCGCTGTTCTTTTTGTTGTTCCACGAGGAGACGTGCTGTGTGTCAGGAATTTCAGCAGTGACGCTGCTACAAATTCCAAAGAAAACGTTTTAATCCAAAAACCATGACCTTTAAGATTTTATGGTGTTCTTGTACAAGGCACAGTAAAATAAGCACACCCCACAACTAATAACAGTACCTCTATTTAGCTGCCTTTTGACAACTGCCCAAGGTGGCCGCTTAAAACAGGTTCTGCTGTATAACAGGACTATCTGATCAACTACTTTAATTTGGTTTACAGGAGGACACTATATTTTTACAGTAAATAATTTCTTAGGCGATCCAAAGCAATGTCTATTCATGCTATCCCCCTTCGTTTTTTCCACATTTCCCCATGCCCTCCCCTCTCTTCCCCTCTCTTCCCCCTTTTTCCCTACGTCCCCTATGTCGTCCCCTCATCTCCCCCCTTTTATTTTCCTCCGTCCTCTCGCCTTCCCCCTTTTACCCCCGGGTACTGCTTTCTTTAGTCACAAAAACACGAGTAGGAAACGTTAAAGTAGTTTTTAATATACTATAAATTATCTTATTATAAATTTTTGTTTTTCATTTTTATCTACTTGATCCGTTGGGATGGTGGTGATTTGTAGCCTTCTAAATACCAAACGTTTGTTATGAATTATAACAGGGGTTTAAAAAGGCATCAAACACGTTATTACGGGTGTTAATAAGGATCGAAATGGGTGCTAAAATAGATGGTCTTATGTAAGAGGGGTCAATAACACTGCATGTTGTTGCATATCGTTGCCATGGAATAAGCGTCCATCTGAGGCTTCGAACAAAAAGCGTTGCCATTAATTTCGAACTTACGAAATCTGTGAGCTTAGATAGATGTTTCAAGCAACAGTTCTGTGTTATTTCGAGGATCGTCATTGATTGACACATGTTCTCTTACTGACGGCTTTGAGATTATGTGCGATAATCGCGGGATCGCAAAGGGTACAATGGCCCCAACAATAGTGAATGCACCAGCCATGTAGAAAGAGGGGTTATACGAGCCGAACTTGTCTGCCATCAGACCTAAGGAAGAAAAAAAAGTAGAGAATGGCGTTAAAACATGTTTCAGTTACAGTTAGTCTGTACTTTTTGAGGGCTGGAGTCACTAGATGGCTTCATCGACGTCTTCGAAGAGTGCGGTTTTGATTTTCAAACTCAACCAAAATACGCTTAGAGGCAAGCACATTACTCACATTTCGCATTTGTTTTCGTCTAGAAAATAACTTTACGAAACGAGCGTGCTGAGCCAATCCGTGACTGTGAAAATGTTTGAACCTAAATGTATTTCGCGCGATTCAGTGAATTATAATCCAGGAGGCCATGTGGTATTTGATTGGCTGTCAATAGGGTACATTTTATTTGACATGGAACACGACACGATACCACGGTATGGAATTGAGGGCATTCTCTGAACCAATCGCATCGTGCGAATTCACTGTTCATCCAACCAAAGCGTATGGACACGGCACGGTCGCAAGTCACAACATGCGCATTATGAGTATCGTAAGTTGTCCACAGACATAGGAAACTGTCTTAAAACTGCAGCGTGTTTTACAAATTTCAGTAAGAGCACAAATGACAATTCAATACCGTACCTGCAATAGGTGGACCAGAGGCAGTGAAGAGAGCATTCAATGCAACAGACACACCAAAAGCCATTGCTCTTTTGTCCACGACCGTGCAATTCAGTAAGTGAATATTCAGCGTTGTGACGTAAATCCCCTCAAAGAAACCGTAAAAGAAGAAATATGTCGCCAGACTGGTGTAGGTTTTGGATAAAGTGCTGAGGATAATAGCAATTCCTATAAAGAACTCTGTGCCCTGGAACAACCAACGGGGATTGACGAACGCGTAGAAATCACATAATAATCCCGTACCTATACGAGATATTGAAGAACCCAGGCCGAATAAGATGTACAACTTGGATCCATCATTGCTGGAAATCCCCAGATCGTTACCGTGACTCACCTGTGGACAGAGTAGGAAAATGAATTAGGATAAAAATGGAAAAAAAAAATACTGTTGATATTAAATCCACAAATGTCTCTCTCGACTAGAATTTTTTGTTGGCCCTCTCTTCTACTTCGAGTGTGTATTCGTATATCCTTGCAGTCCCCCCCCCCCCCCCCCCCCCCCCCCCCGCGCAAAAAAATCAACGCCTCGAAGTTCCGAAAAGGGCCAGAGCTTTGTAGCCATTTTTAAATATTTTCCTACAATTCCCTTCTCCTCTCATTCGCCTCTCCATAGAGCGCGAAAGGAGATATGGGAAGCAAAAGATGATAAACCTGCATCGTTCCCATCATTCACCGCGCGTGGCTGAGATCGATAATAGAGAGCTAGAGTTAGACATCAGCTACAACTTACTATATGGACTTGAGGGATATATTCTCCAAACATACATATACAAGCCGCTAAAGTGATCACCACGAATACTGCGTTTTTATAGAGAGGACCTTCGAAAGGACGAATGTGTTTGTTGGCCGCCACTTCGCGGTTATTCTCGTCGGCCTTCTCGACATTGTTACTAAAGGTCATTGCTAGGAAACAAACTAGTAACATTATGCCTCCAAGCACCAAGAAAGCCTTGCGCCAACCTAATCCGGTTACCAGTGAGTTGATGATTGGACCAAACATTAGAACTCCCATACCTAAGTAATAAGTGGGAAATATTATGTTATTATGTGCGCTTAAAATGAGCTGTTATTGATTACGTCATTTCCGGTCACGCGTGTAATCTTTTCCTCTTCCCCTCTTATTTTAATATCTACTTTTAGAATAATGTGACGTCACGATGTTAATTAAAGTTTTAAAATGCTTTTCTTAGGTGTGTACCTTGGCCAGCGGTGACGATTCCGGTAGAAATAGACCGGCGTTTACTAAAATACAACGAGGCGACAACCAGGCAAGAATTGAAGATAAGACTAGAGCCAAACCCATGAAGAAAACTGTACGAAACAAAGAGAATGTATATATTGTTGGGCAAAGAGCTGCAAAAGAGACCTACTGAACAGGTTAGTCCACCAACTATAGTGGTTACCCGGCAACCATACCGCTGTACCATGATACCGGCCACAGGTCCAAAGAGAAACGTAAAACACATAGCCAAGGAACCAACCAAAGCTGCAAAATAGTACACACATTGAACGGTTAGTATGAGTATTTTAAAAAATATACAAACTTGCCTTACTGTGAACTAATTTTTTCTCTCAAGACGGGAATGATTGCACGGGACACTTTCTTCCTTTTTTTCCATATCTCAATTTGTTTTCCTACTGTAACGATGTACCCGGAAATGCGCCACAMTGGAAAATTTTATAGATGGATTTCACGCAATCTCGTACCCAGAGCCTGCGTTTCTTTTGGCCTGCGGCGAAGAACGAGGACAGCAGGCCGAAAGAAACGCAGGGTGACAGTCACGCAATATCTTCAATCTCATACCGGTAAACGTTGTCATTTTCGTTTTTCAGTGCTGAAATATATGATCAATAATGCTGATCATTGAACAACTAGTACGTTGATAAATATAAATATGAACTTTAAAAGCAAAAATATAATATAAATCAATAAACAGGATATTGCAAGTATCCCGATAAATATTTACATATGCCAGGACATTTCATTGAACCGAGTTTCTCAACGACAAAGCTATGCATTCGTGTCATCTTCAACAGAATAAAAATTCTTTATCTAAAGTTTTTTTCATTCTATTATCTAAAATAGATTTGGGGGGGGGAAATTTTCAAGAAATCAAGGAAGATATAGCTGACAGGATAGGTACGCTTTTAGTAAATTATCTTCCAATTCGTATATTATGCATCAGCACTTTTTCCAAAACGCATGGTCGATTTACAGCACTTAAAATCCTACCTGCTTTTTCCCTACTGACTTTAAAATAATCCACAAACACTGGTAAAAGTAYTCCATAGCTAAAACAAATGCCAATAGCAATAGCAATGGATAAAGAAGCAGACAAACAAACTATCCACGACCAGACGCCATCTTGTTTGTATTTCTTTGCGACCGATTGCGAAATATTCTCTCTTTCGTCACTAGGATTTTCCTGGCTGCCTGATTCCTGAATTTCGCCGTTCTTTGCATTTGTAAGCTCCATTAAAACGTTGTCGAAAATCGTTCAAAAAGTGCAGCGAGTAGTTTTGAGCCGGTCACCGGTCATAGTTCTCCATATTATAACGACATTGGTTGGTTGGTGTGCTTCAGCAACTGGTCACGCAACAAACCTTACACACGACAGCAACTCTTTTTCAGCTTGCCCGGCCAGCTAGAATATGAAACAATAAAACAGCTGATTTTTGGATCCTTGAGGTTTTTTTATTTTATATTCTTGAACATTGACTTTTCATTTACATTCAATTAATACGCTAACAAATATATACGTATATAAATCTCAAATCGAAATACGTGACAAACAGCCCATATTGGGCTACCTGTGGTCATTTACTCTCAACTATTGACATTCAATAAATACGTACATCTTAATTCCTTTTGATAAAAAAATACAAACCTACAAAAAAAGGTACCCACTTATATTTAAACATCGCTTATCCCGCTCCCCTTAAAAAATACTTTTCCTTTACAAGGGAAGGGGGAGGAGTGAATGGAGTCACATATAAATAATATAATAATAATATAATATTGTTATCATAAATTATATTACACTTTAGGATGACAATGAGACATATAGCCAATGTAAATTCTTTTTGCGCGGGTTTTACAGTTTGCAACAGGGTTTAATCACACTGGTCAAGGGTATACCAAAATATCGTGCCTTCAACACAGCAGACGTGTTTACACGATAAAAATGTGGATTCCACTTTGTTATTTGCCATGTTCCACGCTATCAACATAAATACGCGTGCGGGTACTCGCTATTTCGCGCGCAATATAGGGACTGTTCAGCCCTAGAATAAAGAGATAGAGAGCAAGCGTAAAGACCCCCTTTGCATAGCGTCGAGGCTCTTAACTTCATGTTGCTAATGAAATAAGTACGTATCCTACGTGTTTCAAATATCATTTCAAATGAAAACACCAATATTTACAGCCGTAAGAGAAGGGCCGACAGGGTCTGGTTGGAGACGTTCTTTGTCTTTAGAATGTTCGCACTCTAGCTTGTGCTTTGGACATAACTTTGCTATGGTGGATTCGAGATTTCTCCGTGGATGTTTACAACATTGAGAAATGATCCCCTCGATGAACAAGTAAACTGAAGGAATCATCGAAGAGATGAACAAGACACCGGCGCCGGCGAAGAATGCGGGACTGTACGAGTTATAGTATTGTATCAAAATACCTTGGGAAAAAAAACAAAACATTGAGTCAGTCCATTTGCTTCTCGTGTAATGCGGATGAGAGAATAGCAGTAGTGTGTCTTTCATTTCTCGTGCAACTAAGCCCACGTTATTATTCGTTGTCCAATCACAATTAACCCAGTACTACGTTTACATCGTTATCGTCCAATCACAATCAAGACAGGACTACATACGTCATGATTAGTTGTCCAATAACAACATAGTTTCAACAAATCACCCCCTACGTCATTATTGGCAAATCACAATCAACAAAGCACCTCCTACGTCATTATTGGCAAATCACAAACAACAAAGCACCTCCTACGTCATTATTGGCAAATCACAATCAACAAAGCACCCCTACGTCATTCTTGGCAAATCACAATCAACAAAGCACCCCCTACGTCATTATTGGCAAATCACAATCAACAAAGCATCCCCTACGTCATTATTGGCAAATCACAATCAACAAAGCACCCCCTACGTCATTGTTGGCAAATCACAATCAACAAAGTACCCCCTACGTCATTCTTGGCAAATCACAATCAACAAAGCATCCCCTACGTCATTATTGGCAAATCACAATCAACAAATCACCTCCTACGTCATTATTGGCAAATCACAAACAACAAAGCACCCCTACGTCATTATTGGCAAATCACAATCAACAAAGTACCCCCTACGTCATTCTTGGCAAATCACAATCAACAAACCACTGGCTACGTCATTATTGGCCAATCACAATCTACGAAGTATTGCTACGTCATTACTGGCAGTCACAAACAGCCAATTACTGCCTACGTCATTATCGTCCAATTTCCAAATTTGAATTCGAGAGAGAAAAATGTTACAAGTTGACAAATGAAAGTGCCCGAGTCACTGTAGTACCTGCTAATGGAGCACCAGCCGCAATAGTCATGGAATTGACGATACATCCGTAACCAAAAGCCGCAGAAACTTGCTCAGGTTTTCGCACATACGTTAGAAGAATATGATTTAACGTCGTGCAGAATGCCCCATCTGCGCAACCGTACAAAACGCTCACAATAACAAAATGTTCGTACTTGTTCGCAAATGGTATCGTTAAATGTACAAAAGCGTCAAGAAGCTGGGAACACTGAAAGACAAGCGATGAAGAAACCCTCGGATAGTTGAGAAGAAAGCCGATGGTCGTACGAGTAAATATCGTCGCAAGGCCGATGAAAATTAAAAGCTGGGATGCTTTCATTGCAGAAATACCAAGAGTTTCGCAGTTCTCGACCTGATGAACAAAATAGCTGTAGTTAGTTTCCAATTTTTAAAACTTCTGCTAGCCTTCACTTGCTTGCCTTGCTCTAATTACCTTACCGCGCGCATTTTGGATATCGTATCAAACCACAAATTATACCTCTTCAAATTGCGCGTTCAGAAAACGTGTTATTCCCTAGAAAATAAAGTTCATTTCAATATTCATGTGTCTTCTCATGTGCAACCATTAAACAAAAAAATGATAAAAATGGGAAAAATATTAAGAATGCGGGTAAGGAATTAATCAGATGATTTCAAATGTTTTCTCATATGGCAAGCTTTAAATATTTTCGGAAACTGAGTCAAAGTTCGTTGGTTTTAATGGTATTCTTACCAGATAAAGTTGAGGGATATAATGAGCTAGACTTGCTAGAGTTAACGATGCAATATTCACTGTATAACTTGGATTCTTCCATATCAAGCAATCTACCATTTTCTTCTTCACGTGAACTTTTTTCAACGGTCTTGTATCGAGGTCTTCTCTTCTCTCTTCTGTTTTCATAGCCGTTTTAGTATCGGAGGAGTACAAGAGAGAGAATATACCAGGAAGGAAAAGAACTCCTGCCATGATCCGAAAACTTGTTGCTATTCCAAGTTCGTTAAGACTTAACTGTATCAAAGGACCCATAGCAAGATAACCACAGCCACCACCCGCACAAACAATTCCAACAGCCGTCGCGCGTCTTTTTTTGAAGTATTTTGTTGTGACAAACATGGAGGCAGTGTATAGAAAGCTGCTTCCTACTCCAAAGCCCAGGCTATAGGTAAAGTATATCACTACAATGCTTTTAGCAAACGAGGTCAAAAGAAGGCTTAACGCGCATATTAAGGACCCCGCTAAGGAAACGACTCGGAGGCCGAAATAATCTACAAGTTTTCCCGCTGGTAAAGTGGCTAGGAATGTTATTGCTATAGCAACGGAGCCTGCTGTTGCTGAAATGGAATGGAGAAAACGACAAAGTTAGTTTGATTTGCGATTTTCCTTTTAATCATCAGGAAAGAGAAAGTACAAGATGAATCAGTCAAAAGAAAAATGGCGTAGCTTTGAGTGGGGCGTTCATATTGTAACAAGAGAAATTAAAAAATGCACTAATGCGCATGCCTTCTAAAAAGCGCCGCAGGCCGAGGCCGCAGGAGTGGACCTATTGACTAACGTTTTCGAATGGAGTTCAAAAATCAGAAGTTGCCAAAAGCCTGATTGTTCCATAGCGAGCGCGTCAAAGCGTGGGGCAGACTGCAGGGCAAATACCACCCGAAAACCTTATCTCTGGCCGTCTCTAGTTTCCAAGAAAATATCTTAGCCATTTCGTTCTTATAAGAAAATAGACTGCTTACATACTTCTCGTATCCATTTCACTCGTAAGTTCTTTCCAAAACTCCCCTTCATTTTCTTCCAAGAAAGCGGTTATTTCCACACACTATTGATTGAGTAAGCATTGGCTCCCAATGACAATACTGCGCATTTGACAGCCAAATCATAGATCTGGACGCATCTCAGTAAGCCATTTGGAATAGACCTTTTAAAGCTTGGGCGTTACGTTTCCCCAATTCAGACCACGTGTCTTTCCTTCAGCAGTATTTCTTTGTTTACCAGTGCCCTTGAAAAGATACTTTTAAGTTTTATATTCTCAGAGGAATTGCATTCTACAAGTGTTTTGATGAGAAACCTATAGTAAGATAAACGCGTAACCAAGTATTCTACCCAAAGGTCCCCGGCTGCAGCCCCAGGTACATTTCCTTATCGATAAATAGAAAAAGTGAAACGTTTTGTTCCAAATAACAATCAGTGATTGTTATCTCTGCTGTTGTCGTATTTTTATTATCAATTCTAACACTAAGGCTGTCTTTTCTGTCTTAGTTATCTTTCTAATTACCTAAATATTCTATGTTAATACCGTAAAGTCCTGATAATAACCCCTGAAATTGTCCTGGCCATGGTCTCCTCCCTCCCCTCCCCTAGTCTTGCCTATTAGCAACTCTGAGTTTGCGAAAAAGACTGGGTCAAGTTGACATTGCAGTGCATTGTGGACTGTTTTAGAGAACATTTCCAAGATGGCGTCTATTTTGTCTCCTAAAACAATCCCACAATGCACTGCAATGCCAACTCGACCCAGTCTTTTTCTCAATCTCGGAATGGCTAGTGGCTCCTCCCCTTTTTTAGCCCTCAATTTACCGCAATCCATATCCCTCCCAAATAAACTTTGTAAGCCCATTTTTCGTTTCCTATCAAGGAGAAATCTTAGTAATCCAATCAGAATTTTCTTACCCTTTCCAGATCATGACATATCAAGATTTTTTGTGATTTATTAACTGAAAGCTCAATGGCAAGGAACCTTTTTTCTTACGACTCAACCATGCTTGTACTAAAATGTTTAGAGGAATGGCTACTCAGTTTCCATCGTGACAGCAGGCATAGTCAATGGAGCGGAATGGTTGGGAAACCTATTGTTCTATGTTTTTGTTCGACTTTATGCATTGATATGACGTTGACCCTGCACAGAGAAGGAAAAGTTTTTAACCCTAAAAAACGTTCTAAAATAATTATTATTCGTAAGTTAATCCTTTATGATTAATACAAATTGTTTATTGAAAAGGAAATTGCCTTTTTTCATGCTTTCTTATTTATCATCTAGTAAAGTTAACTGTATCTGCGCGGAAATATTCATTCACATGGGTTTTGGTCATCGAATGAAAGTTTTCACTTTCAAAATGTTCATGCATGAAAATGATAAGGAAATGAGTATTTTCAGCCATACTTGCTTTGGTTCATTGTGCAGGGTCAGTATCACGTGATGGTACGGTTCAACATCAAACGCAAAACAATAGCTTTGTTCTATGGAGTTTCCAAACCATTCCGCTCCATTAACTATGCAGCAGGTAATCAATTTCTCCATGTTCCTAATATCATTTCTTTTCACTCCACTCATATCACTCAATATTAAGACTCCACTCAAATCTTGATATGTAAAATCTAGTGAAGCATTATGGGTAGCTTCAAATAAATTCTTAAGTAATCTCTGGCTGCGGACGAGCCATGCTCTTTAATAGTTTAAATTTAAGCCTTGGCTGAACACTCATAAATATGGTCATCAAGTCGAGGTTTGGGGATATGGTTCTCTTATCTATTTCATCACTTTGCAGACCCTCCCAATCCCTACTGACAAAAAATCGGCTGCAGGAACGTTATACCTTAAAGCCTCGACTTGAAAGATATTTTTGAGCATTGCTTTAAAATTTAGCAATTACCAGGAATGTTGAAGGAAATTTTAAAGCCCTTATTCCAAAATTATTTTATTATCTGGATTTTACGGTACGTTTACCCGCCCCACGACCTTCCTATTCACTCTCAGGTTCGTCCAAAAGAAAGTAAGCTTATACGACTAAACGCATGCATTAAAAAAAAAWTTTTTTCCGTCTTTATGTCGATTCGAAAATAAATGTGTGTGAAAGTAAGCTAGAGAAAATAAAGCGTGAAAGCCCGTATGACAGCGCTGGTGTATGGATAATTATGGTAAAAATGGTTAATTGAAGTGATCTTTCTTTGCCTTTGGACGTCTGATTTTTGTAAACAATTTAACTCTCTCCTTCCTTTTTTCGACAATATTAACTAATTAGTATGTTTAATGTTTCTTAAGAACCCGACTTTTTTCTGAAGAGGATTTTTTTTTTGCCATCTGTCAATATCTCATAATTTTGTGTAATCCCTTATCTTTCTATCAAATTTTTGACGCTTTGATATCTATAGGACACCAGTTTTGAACAATGGAAATGCATAATGTCAACACGTGAGCTTTGACTCAAGTAAATTTGCATCAAGTCGGAAAAACAGCTTACAAATGCCAAAATGTAAAACGAGCAAATAAACAGAGAATAAACATATTTTGAAAATATGATTTTTTTTTTTAAATTCGTAAATGATTTAATGAAAAGTTGAAAATAATAAGCAAAATTTTCAAGTTGCGAACAAATGTAACATCCCGCTAATTATAATAACCAACAAAAAAAAATTTTTTTTTTAACTTTAGTATTTCTCTTTAAGCAAAAATTAAAAATTTGTGAATAAGATTATCGAAATGAATGAAAATCATACTAAGAATTTTGGCATTTCAAGGTATTTTTCTTTCTTCCTTTCTCCCCATTTTTTTAAATAATTCAATTTCGATGTTATTCATTCAATAAATGATTTAGAAAATGCAAGATACGGTTATTAAAATTAGTCTAAAAATACAAGAGAAAACCCTCACATAAAGAAAATAGTACTGAGTCAGAAACTGTTAGAATTAAGAAAAGAATATATAGATATAGCTATTAAGTTTCGAGAGACCATCAGGAACTGAAAAAATATTGTCCACGTTGAAATATAATTTTGAAGAGAACGAGAACTGTTCTTTACCAGAACTCGCAGATTTTTACCTGTTTTGTCTATGCTTTCTTTGAAATGGTCCAGTAAATACGGTAGCAAAACTCCAAAACTTAAAGAAACGCCAAAATGAAGAGCGTTGGAAAATGCAGCGAGAAAACATAAAATCCATGACCATGTATTGTCTTTGTCGCTTGAAAGCTTCTTCCACCAGCAACACGCCATTTGTCAGCACAAATAAAGCACTTCGCTTCTTCTTTTTAAAAAGTCTAGTCCAAACGGAATAGCTGCTTTAGTTCCTTAGAAAGAATTTTTTCTCGATAACCCACACCAAAGATGAGGGAATACAAGTGAAGTGGACCAACATGTACGAACAGCTGCTGGGAAACTACTTCGTCGTACCAGTCAAACCAGTTCAAGCCAGTTCGCTTGGAAACCAGTTTACTGCTACTGATAAGAAGTAGTAAACTGGTATATAAGTATAAGTATAAGTACCGACAAAAACCATTCTAATCTAGACCTCTAAATATCCTTGAAATTTTTGAGTATTTATGGAAACAATGATATCGCCGAAGAAATTGGCTAAGTTCATTGAATCAAAGTCGTATGAAAATGCCAGAGGATCAAACAGGTTTTACAAGTGTGTTTGGATTATTTAGCGCTACTAGCGCTATTCAGCAAATGGCGCTTGAACAAACAAACAGAAACGAAACAGCTTTTTTACTAAGGGGACATCGACCAGTTCGATGTTTTTATCATTGATAGGCAACTTAAAACTTTGGATCTTTAGTAGACATAGCAAAGATAGTCCCCCTCGCCTTGATCACCACCACATTTTAAAAAATCCAGTCACTATTTTCAGCAATAATTCGCAATATTTAATTTAACTGATAACCACTTAAAATAATTTGACGAGGCAAAAATAATCAACACTTCTGATTGGTCATCTAGCAAATGAATTACTTTAGGCTAGGGTTACTATGGAAACTCGGACACTGAAATGCCAATCACATCTGTCTGTGTTTTTGAACAGATAAACTTTTGATTAAATCTAAATCGATTTTTTTTTTTTTTGACTAAGAAAATAAACGCAAGAATTGATGGACGTTTCGATGATATCCTGTCATCATTTTCAACAATAATTAAGACAGATCAAGCGTGAATTACTGTATGACAAAGTAAATATATGTACATATTTAAACAAAAATTTTTGCTTTCACTGAGTCTGATTGGACGTTCAGGGTTGGTCATAATGAAACAATCAAATTTAGAACGACAACGTTTTAAGAAGGTGAATATTGTTGTCCTCAGTCCTGCGTGTCTTAATTCATTATGATGGAACAATGTATGTTTGCCAATTGAAGAGGATGGTATTTTATCCTCTGCTATAGGTGTCGTGTCGTGTAACCAATATACCATGTATCACACGCTGCCACACCGAAATTTCTAGATTACATTCTGTTGGTTAACGAGAGATGGTTTCACTTCATTATTTTGGCGAACAGAAAAGATATTTTAAGAATAATAAACTCCCAAAAGTAACTAACTTTTTGCTATTATTAATATTATTATTTCAATTGTTTTTCTTGTTTTCAATGTTTGTTTTAAGGCTTATTTTTTCGAAGAAGTTTGATATTTATACAGTATTTTCTCCCAGATGTGCAAGCATTTTTATAGGATTCAAGAGGGAAAGCGTTACTTCACAAGTTATTGTAACTCCTGTCTCGCCTTCTGCATGTCTAAAGCCCCATTTACACTAGCGATTTTTGCGGCGATATTTGCTGCGATTTTTTTTGCGATTTGGTCCATAATAAATAATAGTAAAGAATTTACTTGTAAAGTGTATTTCACCAAGATTTTCCTAGACGAATGTCTCTTTTGAAGGATGAGACAAAAGATTTCATATTTCCGAAAATTGCCACAAAAATCGCAGCAAAAATCGCAGCAAAAATCGCAGCAAAAATCGCCAGTGTAAACGGGGCTTAAGATTCCATGACATTGAAAGTGACCAATGTCTATACTTGACATGGTGTCTTAGAGCTCCCGTCTACGACCATATGGGTGATCGATTAGTTCAGTCTCGATTAATGCATCGGACTGTATCTAATTGCAAGGACTTGAAATCCCGTCCAGTCCAATTTGGAGGCTTTGAAATGACTTCTCATACTCATTAATTATTCGGGAGGTTATTTGTTTAGAATTGAAAGACTAAGGGACAGATATGTCCCTGAACTGAATTAATTTTGATCCAGTCCAAGGACAAGATTAATTCAGTCCTTTCACGGACTTTAGCAGGTTTCAAGTAACATCATGTGACCCAAAAAATAGCCCTTTGATTGGCTGGTTTACTCATGAAATATTATAGTATGAGAAAGTTGGTGAAATTACCTAAATAAAGCGTGACACCCTGAGGTCACGAAAATTAGCTAGTCATGCACAATAATTTATTTAATTTTCCCGGGAAATTTAGAACACCATTATTATGATTAGAAGCGCGCAATAATTGTTAGTTCAGCGTCAGATAGAGCGTTTTTCAATCTAATTTTCTCGCTGAAAATCTTGGTACGAAATCTTCGGTCGTGTTCTTTCAAAGGACAATGGGTAGCAATGATTGCAACCGGGCTGAAGAAGCATACGAAAAGTGGCCCTTTGCTATGCTGCTCTCTGAAGACGATGATGAAGTCTTCATAACCGATTCGTCAACAGAACACGAAGACACTGAGCACAAAAACATACCAACAAACGAAGCAGTTTTGAATCTCCTCTCTGGTCTAGTGGGATCTGGTCTTCTTGCTCTTCCTTACGTCATATCAAAGGGAGGAGTTCTAGCTATCATCGCATTAGTATTAGTCCCGTTTATATGTTCTTATACGGGAAAGATTCTAATCGAGTGTATGTACGAGAGATCTTACTACAGGCGTAAAATACGCGTCCATTCATCGTACAGAGAAATCGGGGAAGCGTGCTGGCCTGGTAAAGCTGGGATACTAACAGTTACCATACAGATAATACAGTTGGCATTGTCCGCTTCTTCATGTATTGTACTCAGTGCATCTCTTCTATCCCACGTACTTAACTTCCTCGACAGGTCGGAACGCGAATGGATCATCATTGCAACTATTCTGGCCCTTCCAACGGTGTTCGTGCGCAGCTTGGCCCACGTGTCATGGATAAATATCTTGAGCATTACAACACTCTTCTCCCCCATTGTCGTCATCACAGGTTATGGGTTCTTCAACAACCAACCTTGGGACTTCAAGGTTCTTCCATTATGGAACCTCGAGGGAGTTCCTTTAGCGATAAGTATCATTACTCACAGCTACGTCGCCCATGGAGCGCTACCAGTGATTGAAGAAGGGATGGATGATAAAACCAAGTTTGATACCATGCTTAAAGTCACCTACGTACTCTGTGCTGTACTCCGAACCACATTTGCAATTAATGGATTCTTTTCGTATTACGGTAATATTAATGAGATCATTAGCAATAGCTTACCCCCAGGTATTCTTATCACCGTTAATACTCTTCTCTTGATCTATTCACTACTTTGTTACCCGTTCGCAGGGATAGCGCTTATTCATACCGTTGAGACGTCGTTATTTTCAAACTACACTTTCGTTGTTTCGGACCGCCGCTGGTACATAATCTCGCGCATTTCATTGATAGTAAGTTCTTTATTTTTCGCGCTACTGATTCCTCGCTACGCCGTTCTGATAGCAATAAGTGGGAATCTTAAATCTATCTTAGGTCTTATTCTACCGTGTTTGTTTCATTTAAAACTAAGGGCGGGTGAGTTGAGTATAGTCACCATTATTGTGGATTTTTTTATTTTGGCGCTTGGAATCGCGATAGTTGTTATCGGAACAGTCGCATCTGTGTTCCAAATGATCGTCATGTACTAAAGAATCTCTACTTTGAACGATTTCTTTGAATATTTAGATCTTATTAACCGAGCGGGAGGTCTGTACGGTATAATATTGACCGAGGTCGGAATGTACAGACCGACCAAGCTCGGTTGATAAGAGTTTTATTATATGACCACTTTTCATTGAAAAGGACAAAATGTTTTTGCCGCAAGATTAATATGCGATCGGACCGGTTAATACCGGAGAATCTATCCAATCAGATTGCTCGATTTGCTAGTGTCCAGGCTCTAAGATTCACGGTCATATAATAAAACATTTTAATAGCTTGGGCGTAAGGTTTTTCCCATTCTTTTAGGCGGGGAGGAAAGAGACTCTGCCGATGTAGAGCGATTCCTTTGATACACCGCCGTCCACGATTGTGGACGAACAAAACCAGTTTAAATGAATAAAACCGGTTTTTAACCGGGTACATGTAGTGCGCATGAGCAAATGTAACACACCGTGGCGCCAAACGTTGTTTGACGAGAGCGGCAGTCAAAATCATGACAGCGTTGCTAAGTTACGCCACGCAGGCGCGACAAGTATAACGTCCTACATCGTCAGAGTCTATTTTCCTCACTCCACCAAAACAAAAGAAAATAGGCTTTGCTAGCAGGGAAACTCAAAATCATCGTTTGATCACCTAAAGATACAACTCGTGGGATATTCATAAATGAACCCTAGTTTCTCATGCGAGGCTTGCAAATACAAAAGAAATGCCACAAATTCCATCAAGTAAAAGGGTGCTTTCTTTTGTATTTTCATATTAGTCTCGCATTCGAGACATTTTTGAGAGTCCATTGTACTGAAAGAGAACATGTAGACTTTTAACACTTGTTTCATATCGACTGGGCACTACTGAAAACCACGCTTAGTGAGTAGGTTTCCCTCATTAAAGATTATCAACACGACTGTGTGTCGCAAATAATAGATAACGAGAAGATATTTATGTTATTTCTCAGCATTCTTTCGRTCTGAGCCGGTTCCGTGCTTCTAGTACGTTTTGAACCCGACTATAAACATGCAATGTCATAAGTTTTTTGCACGCCAAATCCATGTAAATTAATTCAAATACAAATTAGCTGTATTACAGTTGAGCACGCAATGAGAAATTCTTTTGTTTTAAGAATCATACAAGTCAGGATATCGGGCCGATACGATGTAAATTGTATTATTATCCATCAAAGGCAACATTCACTTGTGAGAAATCATTCTTCTTCAAACTTTCTGTTCTTTCACGATAAGCAGTGCTAACACATGGTAAGGGGATCGTTTCCTTAAAAGCAGGTTCCAAGCAAATTTCACGTGTTCTGTTTCTTAGCGCAATGCATGCCGGTATAATATGGATTGCTGCAGCCACTAAGAGAACAACTCCACTCATGAAAAAGGCGGATTTGTAGGTCCCCGAGGTATCAGCTAGTAGTCCTGTGGAATAGATATTATGATGAGAATGTGAAGAAAAATTAGATGGAAAAAGAAAGAGAGAATGTGGAGAAAAAAGATGACATGACATGAGTTGAGGTCAGGTGTTGTATGAGGTGAAGTGTAGTCTGGGGAGATGAGACGAGGCGTGGTGTGGTGTAGCATGATGAGATGAAACGTGAATGGGGAGTTTGGTGCGGTGGTGAGGGATGAGATGAGAAGTGTGGTGTGGTGTGCGGAGATGACAGGTGGAGAGGTGCTGCAAGATGATGTGACGTGAGGTGAGCCAGATGAGAAGTGTTGTAGTTAGATGAGATAATTAAGATGATGAGATGTTGTGAGATGAGGTGTGGTGTGGTGTGGTGTGGTGTGGTAAGTTGTGGTGTTGTGTGGTGTGGTGAGAAAGGTAATATCCATTATGTGAGGCGTGATGAAGACGAAAATAATTCTTACCAGCCACAGCTGGACCAGCCACAAAAAACGGTGCCGTCATTGAATAACCTTGACCAAATGCAGACGACGCTTTGGATTGAATAACACTACTAGTAAGAAGAACGGTGGTGGTTGTGCGAAACGTGCCATCAACAAGACCGTGTACACAAGTAAATGCCACCATGTGACCATATGTCTTGGCAAAAGGAAGAACGAAGAGACCGACAGCACCAAGAATCTCAGCAGACATGTTGACAAGGCTTGGATCGATTCTTGAGAAGTCAGACAAACGACCGCTGATGACCCGTGAGATAATGGAAGTCAGCCCTAGAAAGGTATAGAGCGTTGAGGCTTTTGCTGCTGATATTCCTATTTCTTCTGAGAATTTTACCTTTAAAAAATTAATATCTATGATTATAACACTGGATGCGTTTTCTGGTATACCACTTTGTCCCTTCCCTTCCCTATCTTTCCTTCCCTTACTCCCTCCCTCCCCCTTCCTTACTCCCTCCCACCCTCCCTCCCCATTCATTATTCCCCACATACTTCACTTTGCCCTGACTAACGATCCAGAGTGCCTCCCTAGCTTAAATCCAGTTCATTATTGGATATTTGGTCGTTTCAATTCAAGTTTTAACGAGCCGCAACAAACATGTATGAGTTCGTGTTTAGCAGTTGGTCCAGCTCGTTGGAATGTCTTGATAGAGCTAATCGTTGATTGGTTAATGTTACTCTAATTTGACAGTTCAACATTTTTTATCGTCTCGAGATTTGAATTTATTTTTTGATACATTAACCAAAGATTGAAAGCGAAGAACGAATTGAAAAATCCAATAATAATTTGAATATTATATTCTAGAGGGTTGCATGCTCACTTACCAAATGAAAGACTGGATTATAGACTCCAAATGAAGCTATCGCAATCGAAATAACGGAAATTGTAAATTTGGGTACTTTCCACACGGACAAGTCAAACATGCTGCGCAAGCTGAAAACTTTTTTTACGCGTGTTTGATTTGGGGAGTCAGCGGTTTCCTCATTCCCGTCATGCGATTCTTCCTCGACATTTGGATCGAAGACCAAAGCCGTGAAACCAAATAAGACAAAGGTGCCACTGAGAACACGATATAAATTCCTCCATCCAAGTACATCCAAGAGGTATTGCATGATGATCGGTACTGTCATGACTCCAACCCCAACACCAGCACTATTAACACCCAACGCCAGAGAACGTCGCTTCTTAAAGTACTTCACGGTAAACAAAATATTTGACGTGACTACAAAACTGAGTCCGAACGCCAATAACAGACTAAAGGTGAAGAACATGGCGTTCACGTTGTATATGAGAGATGAGAGAATCAGGCTTACTATCATGATGACGAAACCTAGTCCACAAATGAGCTGACCTCCAAAATGGCCGCAAAGCCAACTTGTGAAAACAGTCATGAGGAACGTCGTTCCGGATGAAACAGAACCAATCAGTGCTGAAAGCAGAACAATGAAAAATAAAAACAGGGTATCGGTTTATTTATGTGGATGTAGTTAGCTGTCGCCCTCAATGGTGTTACAGTTTCAAACTGGTGTTGATAAATGTATACCAATGTATATTATACTAATATATAGTATACCAATAAATGGCCTTGCTATATATAGTACGTGTTAATATGCATGCCTTATACCATATATCATTGTGGCATGGCGTTGCTATATATAGTATGTGTTATTTTACATGCCTTACACCATATATAGGGTTGCTATATATAGTAGGAGTTATTATGCATGCTTTATACCATATATGGGGTTGCTATAAATAGTACGTGTTATTGTGCATACCTTGTACCATATATGGGGTTGCTATAAATAGTACGTGTTATTATGCATGCCTTATAACATATATGGGGTTGCTATATATATATATATATATATAGAACACGTGTTATAGTGCATACCTTATATGATGTTTTCATGCCTTAAATGGTGTTACCAAACCTAATATGATTTTGGCCATGCTTTATATGGCAATGCAATACCTTCTATAATGCTTGCAATGCCGTATATGCTTGTTGTCATGCCTTATTTGGTGTTGCAATTCCTTATATGGTCATGTCATGCAGTATATGGTGTTTCCATACCTATTTTATCTCTCCCTTCGTTAAATTCTTTCATTAGCACTGGAAGAAACACCCCAAAGCTTCGCGCAAACCCAGGGCCGAGCCAGTTTTGTATCACTGAACTCAACAGCACGACCCAGGACCACGGGCCATCTTGTTTGTGAGGAGGTCTGTTTTGGCCCGGAAGGCATGGAAACGTGGAACAAGTCATGATTTTGTCCTGTCAGCAGAAGACAGTTTCCATAGAGGTATGGACAACGATGGCCTATTATGAATGAAAAACAAAACTGTTTAGGTTGTTCCATAGGAAAGGGGGTTGAGGGGAGAGGGGGGTCGGGGGTGGTTACATTGATTTATTGCCAACTTATTACGATATACACTTATTTCAGTAAACGCTATTGTCAAAGGCGACAGCCAATAGGCGAAAAGCGATAGGAGATAGGTCATTCCAAGATCCAATAGCTGGAATGACTCGTGTTTCTAGTGTAGAGACTGATTCAATGTTCTTCGTACTCAACGAAACCATTTCCATGTCGGAATGACCTATCGCCTTTGGCAATGACAACGTTTTTTGAAATAGGTGCATAAATGAGTATCAATAACGATTCATTATTTATGATAATACTATGCAAATGTTTAACTGATTATTATCAACTTGGCAACCTACGTGCGATGATACTTGACCCTTGGCCATATATATATATATTTCACAAGGCCTTTCTATGATTAATACAAAGCAATTCTGGAATAATTTCAATGCATTTTATCAGAATTTGACTCTAAATATCCCAGATATCAATGAAACAGCTTCAATTCCAACTTCGTTAGTGTTCTATAATAGTCACGATTTGGAAGAAATAATCTAATTACAGCCAATATACAATACTAGTTACCTATCAGCCGGTCCAACAAGAAAAGACCAGCTTTTTTGAAGGCATCAACTGTTTCGTCGAATATAAATACCAATCTAAAATGAAGCATACATTGCACGGTTAATTAGTAGAATTTCGTCTTTGAAGTCAATTAATTCCTACAGAGACGAGACGCTTTCCTTAAAAATAATATAAATCGATGTGTACTAGTAAAGGGTGTCTATCAAATCTTGGTCTGTAGCTTAAACGAGGCTGGCTATATTTACAATCCTTATATATGAAGTCAAAATATAATAGAACAGATACCCACCTAAATCAAGGTACTGTAGTTTGGGGAGTTTGCCAGCGTTCTGCTGATAATCCATCTACCTTGGCCTCTCTGCAAACTCTAGCACAATCATGACACAGTGGAAACTTGAAACTTAAAAAAATGGCCTGTCTTGGATTGCATTACTGACAGGCACATCGAGTCACAGATCTGGCGTTACATTCTAACATTGACAAAATACTGAATGTACTTTTATTTGTTTTTAGTTATCGCTAAAATAGGTGTGAAAAAGAGATCATAATATTATAGAAATCTAGAAGAGAAAAAGATGGGCCAATGCAATTAAAAGACAGAAGTAAGTAAAGACTTAGTGTATTTAATTTCCTTCTCTAAGCTGTTTATTCAGGGCTTACTCATGACGTAAGCTAAAAGGATAGTCAAAAGGAAAGGATTACAAGCACGTCACTAAAGGCCTAGAAAAATGCCATCGAGGCCAATAAATCAGCGAACAGCTGACATGTTTTGAGACTCGTACAATGTCTCTACATTGGTATAATGATTCAGAACTTGAGCCCAAAAAACTCTGTGCATTTAAACTGGGAGTTTTTACTGAACTTTAAACGCTTTATGTTAACCCATTACACCATGATCAGAAAGTGAAAACCTTTAAGCCAATAAACAGATTCTTAATTTCACATTTGAACTTTTAATTAAGAAAAAATTTTTTACAAGTGAGTGTCTTGAACATCAATGGCATTATTAGTGTGAGATTTCTCCATCACATCTTTATTTGGGACAGAACACGTTTCTCTTTTCTGGAATACTAGTTCATTGTCTTGAACATCGCAGGCACCATTGGTGTGAGATTTCTCAAGTACATTGTCATTTGGGGCAGCTATCATTCTTCTATTCGTCTCCCCGTTACTTCTCCAACAAAGGAGAAGAGAATAGATAAAAGACCCTAGCAGCGTGATAGACCCTGCTATGTAAAAGGCAGGAATGTAGGAATCGTAATGATCAGCGATGGCACCTGTAAAAAAAGGTATATTGCTTGTGTTATAGCCGCCGCCATCTTAGTTGAATTTATAGAGATTATCTTGCTTTGTCAGCCAACATGGCTGCCACCAAAAAAAACTAAATGTAGATACGTCTTTCGAAAATTGGCAGCTACTTCAAAACCTTTTGGAGAAGTTCGTAGTTTTTATAGCCGCCTGTATATCGTTGTAATAAGGCGGAGCAAGAGTACAGGAACTGGGGAAGAGGAAGTGGCAAGCGCGCGAGTTTTGGCGCGAATCAAGTTTCTCTGGGTCAATCAGAATCGAGATAGCGAGTACAATGTATAACAATATCCGTTAGTTTTCTTACCCGCTACAGCAGGGCCAGCGCCAGCAAAGACTGATATCGCCATGTTTGCCTGCCCAAAAGCAGAAGCCATTCGTTCAACACCCACACTATCAAGAAACAGAATATTCAAAGTCGTCCGAAACGTTCCGTCGGCCATTCCGTAGAAGATGGAGAAGATGACAAGGTGCGTGTACGTAGCTGCTTGTGTAAGGAGAATAGTTGAGATCCCGCTGACTATTTCTGCAGCTTGGTTCACGTGGTTTGGTCTGATGAAGCTTACGTCACAAAGACGCCCGGCGATGACCCGAGTGATTACCGAAGTTCCTCCGAAAAAGACGAAAAGTGTAGCGGCCGGTAATGCGCCTATACCGATTTCGTTGGCAAATTTTATCTGCGAAGAAAGACATGCGCATTAATAAAGGTAGACTTTTTTGAAACTTTATTAGAACATGTGGTAAATACCATATGTAAAAAGAAAAGACAAGGAAAGAGGAAAGGAAAGAGGAAAGCAAAGCAAAGCAAAGCAAAGCAAAGCAAAGCAAAGCAAAGCAAAGGAATGGAAGGAGAAGCTCAAGTACATCAAAACATAGTCAAGGATCCTAACCACATGTATCTGCGCTGTGTGGTGACCAAAACAAGCTACCATATTGGACAATACAGCGATGGTATACAAGGGAACTCTCCATATCGACGTGTCAAATACATCCAATATTCTTTTCCCGCGATTAGCGACTTGAGGTTTTTCTTCTGTTGAACTGGTGGGCGTTTCAACATTGGGGTCATAGAATAAGGTCAAGAATGACATCAAAACGAAAAGGCCAGCGATCAGACGGAAAATGTTCCTCCATTCCATTATTTTAAGGAGGTACTGAGTAAGTGGTCCCCAGCAGATCGCTCCTACTCCTACCGCGCTTGCAACAATGCCGACCGCGAGAGAGCGGCGCCTTTTGAAATACATCCCAATGATAAGAAAACCTGAGCCCTGTATACAACTGCTCCCGAAAGCACTCAGGAGGCTGTGACTGAAATACATAGGGATTATACTATGCGGGAGGGAACTGAGGACGAATCCTGCCGCTGACAAGGCATGACCGATGGCGCAGATGACTTGGCAGCCGCATTTGTGACATAGATGACTTGACACGACAATTAGACAGAGAAAGACGGCGAAATTCAGGGATCCAACGAGCGCTATGAATAGAAAAGGCAAAGAATTTTAAAAATTAAATCGTAAATTTTAGTAGTAAATAGTATTTTTTATATTTGCAGTTGAAAATAATCCAACAATTGACTTCTTTATTTCAGGTCAGGAAAGTATTCAATGGAATTTAGTGGAGATTAATACTGTTTGGAATACGTAGTAACGAAGGAATAAAGGTAAAGTGAAATCATTTGTTATCTTTTGGTCAAGATGGTGGTAGCAATACCTTACAGGAGAAATGGTTAAGTTTATCCCTGTGTATCTCTCTCTATATATCATTATTACATAACATATATGATACCACTAGCAGCCATGATTATCATAATCATTGATCATCATAATCATCTACGTACGCACCTGCTCTTTCTCGACTCTCACCGAACTCCTTCATCAAGATCGGTAGATACACCCCAAAACTATAACCAATCCCTCCACTCAACCAGGTTGTCAGGAACACACAGGATAATATTACCCATGCCCATGGTCCGTCCTGCTTGTGTGGTGCACCTCCAGTGCGGAAGAGAGAACAACCCATTACAAAATGCTGTAAAAAAATATCGTATGGGCATATCAGTCACGTGATATTCTTTTGCTTAGCAACATGCATCAACAAATTTACATCAGTTTTTTATGTGTCTGTCATCTCATTGACGAGAAATTGCGTCATCACATCGTCAAAGTAGCGTAGATCCACGAGGCGTAGTCAATCTTTGCATACTACTTTGACAATGTGATGACGAAATTTATAGTCAATATGAGGACAGACTAATACAAAAGTGATGTAAATTTGTTTTTTACAATACTGAGAACGATAAAAACTTCTCGTTTTTTAGTGATCAAAACGACCAACGGAAAGAGCGTGCGCTCGTTGACGTCAGCTTTGTCTGTCTGACCTATAATTAATCATAAAAAATAACTATAATCAGCGCGCGAGAAAATTGTAAGTTATCGTAAAATAGAGTATTGACTCCGAATACCTACAGCCATGTAGTCAAGAATCGAAAACCAAAGATATAGATGTGTAGTGCAATATTTTAGTCTCGTGCTATTTCACAAACATATAGTTTGCACTCTAAACAAATAGGCTTATAACAAAAGGATTCTCTTACGAATTTCGATACGTTTTTGCGGGTCTAGCCGTCACGTGCCAAATATAAAACGAACTTTTTTGCCGAACCGTGAAAGATTATAGCCCTAAAAACTAACCTACATTAGCTCAGAGTAAAAAAAGAGGTAATATTTCACATCTTTTTATCCAGAATTGAATGCAAATCTAAAAAACTTCATCATATTTTCGTGAATGCGAAGACGATCACGGTTGAGATTCTCGTTTATAGAGTTCATAACCTCAGTAAAAACCAGTCGTAATTTCTAATCTCAAAAACATGTTGACGACAGAGACCTTATAATATCAACAAGCGAAAAAGCAAGAAAATATTTTATTTTATTAAAGAAATATTTGGCCATTGAGTAAGTCTCTAAGAATATTTTTTTGTAGGAAAAGAGCAAAACTATGCGAAGTTTATAATCTTATGTAGTGAGAACGTTGTAAGTCTAACAATTTTATTCTAGGGTTTTCAAATAATGTCAAGACCTTGATCTTTAGTCATGCAATAACATTCTCTCTTTAAAGGCTTGTTTTCTTCGTTTTTATCCGGTTCAATTGAGGGGAAAACTAAGACGTATTTTGTCTCAATCGGCATCCAAAATGATATTAAAGATTCAATGCTTTAGACGTTTGCATTCCGTGACTAAAATGAACCTAGTCTTCGCTCTCTGAAATCACACAATTTGAAGACGAAGTATATAAGAATTTCAAAGAATCAATAGATAAGTAGAAAAATGAGGTTTACAGTCTTACCAAGATTCCTTGTTTTAGTAGAAAATCCTTCTCTAAGTGATCTGGCAAATCCTGACTGATCAAAGTTGTTATTTTTTTTGTTCACGCGTTTACTGAACCGCTGTCAAAAACACAGGGAATCCAATTTGGAGATTCATATACAAGCAACTTGAGACCTGGGTGAGAATATGCATGACTTTATACACGCTTTTGCCGCCAACGTAAAATTCAGTTCGGGTCACATATACTTGTTTTAGATTTTGAGAAGATCCGGATATCTTCAGTGAAAAAGCCAAATGCAAATAAATTAGGGAAGGTACGTTTTTTATGCTGGGGGGGG